ACAGCAGTGTTAACTATAGTTATCACCCCTAGTATATATTTATCTTTTAAATGGAAGTTTGTACATTTGACCACCTTCAAATTCCCCATCTTCCCCCCTCCCTTGCCTATGTTAACCACAAATCTTTTCTTTTTATAAGTTTGTTTATTTTATTTTTCTCATGTAAGTGAGAGCATATGATATTTGACTTTATAATTTAGCATAATGTTCTCAAGGTTGTAAATGGCAGAATATACTTGTGCGTGTGTGTTTGCGCGCGCACATGCGCGTGCACCTGCAAATGTTTATGTGTCATTATTTATCCATTTATCCATAAATGGACATTGAACTTATTACCATGTCTTGGCTATTTTAAATAATGTTGCAATGAACCTAGAGGTACTGATATTTTTTCAAATTAGTGTTTTCATAGAAAATATTTTTGAAAATTATTCTTAACTGCTCAAATGTCTACTAACAGAATAGATAAATAAATTGTGGTATGATTTCAAAATGAATGGTTATGCATAAATGAATATTGGCATGGAAGTATCAGTTTGAACAACAGAAATATGGTCTAAATATATTTTATTTTAGTTTTTTGTTTGTTTTATATTATAAAACAAGTATTTTCTAATATTCTGTCCATAATGCTTGGACTTGAACAAAAAAAAGAAGTATCAGTTTGGGTACTTCTTATAATTATTTTAGATATATACCTAGGAATGGAATTGCTGGGTCATAAAGAATTGTCAAACTTTTCCACAGAACCTGTACTATTTTATATCTCCACCAGCAATACCTGGGATTCTAATTTTTCCACATCCTCACCAACATATGTTTTTTGCTCTCCTGATTATAGTCATCCTAGTAGGTATGAAGTGGTATCTAAATGTGTTTTTTATTGACTTTTTTCTTATGACTAATAATATTCAGCATTTTTTTCATGTGGTTATTGGCCATTGGAACATCTTTTCTTGAAAAATGTCTACTAATTTTATTTTTAAATCAGAATGTTCAGATTTTCTTTTATTTTTTTAAAATATTATTTTTAATTTTTAAATTACAGTTGCAGGATTAGATGAACTTTTCAAATTGTTATTCCTAAAAACACTATGATGTGTGGGAATATAATTCACAAACAGTTTTTAAAAAGAGGAATGGGATGCCCCCCCCATACACACATAGAACACCTGGGAGTGAATTAGAACTTATTTTATCTGACATTAGAGACATCACTTCTCTTAGAGATTCTTGCTCCCAAGGAGAAATGAAAGGCGCAAGAACCAACTTCATTAACCCAGATCTTTCTCAGATGGAAGGAAAAAGAGGATTATTTGGTATTCCCAAATAACCTATGTGGAAATGAGTTGGAAATACTCCCTTGGGAGCTGTTTCTTTAACAAATATACCTCTCATCAGGACTCTGAACACATACTGAGGATACAGCCACAAAAACAATCATCAGACGGTGCTTAGGAAACACAGAAAGAAAGCTGTGGTTTAGGTGAGGAAGTCCAGGGGCTCAGATGCAGTATGAATGCTTTAAGCACTCTTCTAGGGGATGTAAGTACAGCTTATGGAATGTAGTCAATAATATCTATATAATGTGTCAGGTTGGTGCAAGACATATTGGGGGATCACTTCATAAGTTATATAAATGTCTAACCAGTATGTTATACACCTAATAGAATATAGAATGTTAACTATAAATTAATTTTTTAAACAATTGAAAAAGCAGAACTCTTCTACATAGTTACGCAATTCTTCTGCAAAGGGTAAGAAAACATTTTAGTATTTTTTAAAATAAGATGAAGAATTCAGGGATGGGATTACCCTATGACAAGACACTCTTGGACAGGAGAACTATTGTTTATATTAAATGTATGTAGGTTGAGAACATGAATTTGGGGGTCATATAAACTTGAGTTTGAATTCCAGTATGTCACATATGAATTGTGTGACCTTGGACACATTATTAAACCTCTTGAATGCTCAATTTTCTTTGCTGAAGAATGTAAACAACATATTGTTTTCACTGCTTGTTATTTATTCACTTTGCATTTCACAATCATTAGGCATCTATTTCCTATTATTCTACTGAAATTAAGATCAGCAAAGACCTGTTTGCTGAAAACAATGGATACATTTCATTTTTATTATATTTGGCAATTCTAACATTATCTTTCTCTATTAAGCTACAGCACTACCTAAGTTTTATTTTTTTTTATTTTTTATTTTTTTAAAGATTCCGCTGGCTCTGTAATAACAGATCATCTTTATGATTCTCTTATGTTTCTGCCTACTTCACTGTCCATCTCCTTTGAGATATTTCTTTTTGTACTAAAGTAGAGGTTTTCCTACGTTTATAGCTTTTCTCTCCACATCTACTTTTCCATCTTAATTCATACCAAAGAAAAGATTTAATCAGTCACTTCAAAGCTGAGATGTTCCAGATTTCTTTATCCAGCACCACAGCATACACACACACACACACACACACACACACACACACTTCCCTTGATGGAGCACGTGTTCTCAGGCAATAGGTAATTGTATGAAGAACGTGGAAAATCAGGAGACACTGATTACATGGAATGCTTAAAGATTACCCAGAAGTGAAAAGAAGATTTTCTTATTTTCCCAACATGATCTTCATGTGCCTTCTTCTCTTTTCCTTATCCTTCAACTTCTTATGTCTTTATTACTGGTTTATGAAATGTTTTCCAGCCTCTAGTCAGCATGGCAAGTTGAAGAAACTCTAGTTGATGTGTCTTTGTGACTTCCAGAAATTATCGAGGACTAAGGGCTAGCTGCTTTCTGAGACTCAGCCCAAATAAGACCCTCAGAGTGGGGTGATGGGATAGCTGATTCCTGCCATCTCTGCATCCATGAGAGAGTCTCTGGGCTTGCCTGATGATGATGAGAAATTTCACTGTCACTAATGTCATATACCACATATTATATGTGATTCCCCCTGGCATATTTGGGATATGTGGACAGTTCCTGGCACTGCCAAATTTGCCATAATTAAATATCAATGTGGCTGCTGCCAGGGACTGCAGATAACAAATAGAGTATTCTTCTAACATATTCATTCAAAAAATGTTAGTGAATCATAATAATTCTAGCCAGAGGGATTACCACATGGTTTTGATACCCAAACCTTGCTCAGCTCAAATACCAAAATCCATTTAAAATCCAAAACCCATATATTAGCCTTTGATAATACCATACACTAAAAAGCAAGTCTGGATGCTATCCTGTTTCCTCCCTCTGGTCTACTTCTTGGGCAACAGCTGGTCCAAAGAGATCATTTGTCTCTATCCCATACAATAGATTGTGGCATTTATTCATTCACTATCTTTTCACTTCATACATTTTGTTAGACAGGCAATGTTAGAAGGTTAAGGGAATGGAGCAGGTAGGAATTATGATTTATGATGATCTACACATCACTTCTGTGTAGAGGTAGTTAAGTGCCGTCAGGCTGCACCCCACATCCGTTGTGGTTCAGTGGATCTAGTTAGTTGGCAGGAATCAGTTCCCACATAAACAATGTTTGTTACCTCAGAGCCTAGATTGAGCTTTTTGTAATTTACAGTATCCCCTGTAGTGGTGATCATTTCCAAAACACATTCATCTATTCCCTACCCATTTAACCCCACCAACCACTGCTCCTTATTAAAGATGACACCATGTGCCAATTTTCAGAAAAGAATTATTCTTGCTTTCAAAGATTTTTGTGAAATGGAAGTGGTACAAAGATTACTATCACTTCATTCTTCCTAATTCCTCTTCAAAGATGACATTAGTGATATTTATAAGAGAAAACAATATTTAAAAGACTATGGGCACATATAGATTCCACTGAATTTGGGAGAAGCTAATGTTTCTCTTATGGTTCTTTTTGTTTTTGTAATGAACTTGCCACAAAACTTTTTGGTTATATGCAAAAACAAAAATAAGCTCATTTGATTGGATAAGAACATAATTATAAGTCATATTTCAAAGTTTCCTATAGAACTCAAATTTAAGTTTTATACTTTCTATATTTATTAATATTAGAATATCTATATGATTGTCTCCACCAGCAATATGATTTTAAATCTGAGTTTTTATCTTCTTTCCAGAACTGGTTCTATAAAGTACATGCGTTCAGTCATTAAATTTGATATTGCTTTATCTTTTAAGATACTTATTTTTCTTAAAATCTGAAGCTCAATATAAGTATTAGGCTTACCTTTGTTCTAGGAGTCTGTTTTCATTAAATTTATGTATGTATGTATGTATGTATGTTTTTTTAGGAGCTCTCAACCATCTTGTTTTTTTGTTTATATGTTGTCTCTGGTGTTACAGATCTCTCATCCTGAATCTCAAGCCCACTGAGAAATCACACCTTTCAAAAATGAGTTTACCAACTAAGCCCACTTGTTCTGATTTCTCTGGAACCTCATGAGTCACCTCATTACTCACAGGCCACTTGAGATGGCAATGTTGATATTAATATTTCTTAAACATTTATATGGTGATGGACTCATTTATATTGATTAATTATTTTCCTTAGTGATTAATCTTTAAAGCAAATATCTGATTGGTTTCTGGAGAGAAAATCTGAATTGGTCCAAACTGGAAAGAAATACATTAATGGTCTGTAGGAAAGATAATGAGAGGAGGAGTCAGATAGTGAAGACAGTGACATCGAGCCAAAGAAATAATTTTGGGGACTAGGAGTAAAGACTAGAAACATAGATGTAAGTTGTGTGATTGATGGAATAAATGTTGCAAGCTGAAGGGCACATTGTTGACACTTATTAACGTGATTAATATTATTATTCTTTGTTATTCCAGGCAAAGGTTTTGTGAATACAGACATAGTTAATTAAGAGTAAGGCAGTCCACAAAATCCTGTACATTTGGAAGGGAATAACTGCTTGATGATGTGCTACAAGAAGATGGACTGCTAAGTATTTCGAGGTCATAACCCCTGAAGACAGTCTTCTCCACTTGCAAAACCTACCATGTGGCCCAACAGCAGTTCTACTCCCTTCTTGCTGACTGGCTTCCTGGGCTCAGAGGCAATGCACCACTGGATCTCTGTCCCTTTCTTTATTATTTACCTCTCCATTCTTTTTGGCAATGGCACACTTCTCTTCCTCATTCAGAAGGACCACGGTCTTCATGAGCCCATGTACTACTTCCTGGCTATGCTGGCAGGTACGGACCTCGGAATGACACTAACTACAATGCCCACAGTCCTGAGAGTCTTGTGGCTGAACCAGAGGGAAGTTGCCCAGCATGCCTGCTTCACTCAGTCCTATTTCATACACACCCTGGCCATTGTAGAATCGGGGGTCTTGCTTACTATGGCGTACGACCGTTTCATTGCCATCCGAAGCCCTCTGAGGTACAACTCCATTCTTACCAATTCCCAGGTGATGAAGGTAGGACTAGGGGTACTGATGAGGGGCTTTGTGTCCATTGCACCCCCAATTCTGCCTCTCTATTGGTTCCCATATTGCCATTCCCATGTTCTTTCCCATGCCTTTTGCCTCCACCAAGATGTCATGAAACTCGCCTGTACTGATATTACATTTAATCGTGTATATCCAATTATTCTAGTTGCTTTGACTATCTTCCTAGATGCTCTGATTATCATATTTTCTTATATTTTAATCCTTAAGACAGTTATGGGAATCGCTTCTGCAGAGGAGCGAGCAAAAGCCCTCAACACCTGTGTCTCCCATATTAGTTGTGTCCTGGTCTTTTACATCACTGTGATTGGCCTGACTTTCATCCACAGGTTTGGAAAACATGTACCACATGTGGTCCACATTACCATGAGCTATGTTTACTTTCTCTTTCCTCCATTCATGAACCCCATTATATACAGCATCAAGACCAAGCAGATTCAGAGAAGCATCATTCGCCTATTTTCTGTGCACAATAGGGCTTGATCTTTTACTTCAGAATCTTGAGAGTTCTAGAATGTTTTGCCCTTTTCCATTATTGGAAGAGAACTTTGGTTTTATATACATGCTTTTTTTTTCAGAGTTTGATGAGATTTTAATTATTATATAAAGCTAAAAGTTTGCTTGAGTATATGTGTGTGTGTGTGTATGTGTGTATTTATTTATATATTTATACATATATATTCTAATATTAATCTTGTATTAGCATATGAATATTAGAATAGAATATATATTTATAGAATGTTTGTTAGAATACATGTTATAACCTATATAACATACTATATATACATTATAACATACATTTTTATTAGCAATACAAAGCCAGATAATACCTAATATAAAAAATACCACCTATAAGATTTTCTGTATTATTTGAAATTTTCATAATCAACAGAATTTGCAAGTTAGAGAAACTAATTCTGGCTTTCTTCAACTAATAAATGGCATTTACTGGAAAAAGGGTGGGGTGACATTCAAAAATAATTTCAAAGGTTCAGGGAATAAAGCATTTCCCATGGAACAAGTAGTAGATTTCCATCAATTCCTTTTTAGCAGAAACAGGGCATGAGGTTTGGTGGCATAGATATGAACCCTAGAGCTGTTACAACTTCCATTCTTTACATCGTATTCTTTACTTTTTAATATCAGTTTTGAACTAAATTATAGAATCTAAATGTTGGAATCTGGATAAGACTGTGCCCTGGATTTGGGGTTTGAGGAGAGGAAAAATTACATCCTTTTAGCTTTTGTGATGGGAGAGAACTAATAAAACATTAAATGCTAAATAATGAAGAATGTATCCAAAGTGGGAGGAATATTTGGATACAGGACAACTCAAAACTAATAAATTAATCCTGAAGGATTCAGTCATTATGCAAATGGCTAGTGATGCTTCTTGGGAAGTTGGACCTGAAGGTTGCAGTCATTGTCATTTTGCTTGTTTTTCTCTATGTACCATTTATTTAATTTTTCTAAAGTTGGCATACTGAGTATATTTAATTTAGGGACATAGGTTGTTAGTTATCTTTGCCATTTGGTCTGCAATGAACATCATTTTTGAATATGAACTACATAGCAGTAACCTACATTCCTGTTGACTGTGGCAGAGATATCAGTAAATAAAAAAGAAAAAGTGTGATGGTGTTAAACTTTAGGCAAGGGAAGGGTTGTTATTAAAGTGGTAAATGAGCCCTGGCCAGTTTGGCTCAGCGGTTGAGTGTCGGCCTGCGGACCAGAGGGTCCCGGGTTCGGTTCCCGCTGGGGGCACGTACCAAAAAACAAAAAACAAAAACAAAAAAAAGAAAGAAAAGTGGGAAATGCAATGCATTACTTTATTTCCCAAGATGGGGAATTTCAATACTATTCCCATGATTGTTACAGGAAGACAGGTTACAACAATAAAAGTGTGGTGCCAATTTAGAAGCATTGTGTTGAAAAATAAAAGCAGGTATGGTACAAAACTCTTACAGTCAGTGAAAGAAAGAGAAACCTAGCTACAAATAATAAAAAAGTGATGGAATTGAGCCGATAACCCAAATTCACTCACGCTGTAGGTAGCAAGAGATGCCATAATATAATTTTACACTCTACTGATATTTAAACAGCCCGTATACATTGTCAAAATCAATGAAAAAAAACAAACAAACAGAATATATATTGAAAATATTGATTTCTAAAAATAAATGCATGTATATAGATTTAAATAAAACTCATAACACATTTTAAAATGATTTCTTTCTTTGAAAAATATTTTCAATTAATAAATCAATATTTATCTACCAATCCAGTCATATATCAGAACAATTACAGTAGGACTTAAGTAAAAATTGTATCCTTCCAAATAGGTGCAGCTCCCAGACAGGTCTCTTAGCCTCCCCTCTCACCCTGACTTCTGCTAAACCATGAGAAACTACGCAGAAGTCTTGAGTCAGTACTGACATGAAAGCAGGAGTCATGTCTGTGCTTTTCTCCAGAGTGATTATCAAATCAGGACAGTTTATTCTCTATCATATTACAAGTGCAGCCAGATCAGTAATTATATTTTCCCATCAGTTTCTGATCTTTCCAAGAATCTGCCATTCTATAAACTTTCAAAGCTGCTAAAGCAGTCTTTTTAAAAAAGAAATAAACAGTTTTATTTTTGTGATGTGGCCAGGGCTGACTTATTTAATTTATAATCATAGACAATACCTTGTTTCAGGTGTTATCCAAGAGCTTTACATGGATTAATTTGTTGTGTGTTCTTGCCAACTCAGCGGTTCTTGAGCAGGGATACAAATATCTAAGCAGCATGCAGCTTCCAAACATCTTGTATAAAGACACAGAATTTGGCAATTGTATAACAATTCTGGTTTAGGGATGGGAGGTGATAGTTTTAGACACTTAATGATTTAAGCATGGTAATAAAGATGCTAAAGTTTTTATTTCCTTTTATTTTTTTTCCTGAAATCTGAAAAAAAAAACTTTTTTCTCCACATTTCCAAACATTTAATTAAAGTTTAACTAAACCACAAGAAGCTCCTTTCTCCAGGTCTTGTCCCCTTCCCCTTCCTTCATGGGTGGTTGGTAGACACGAGCATGGCTGTGTGTGCAAGTGTGTATGTGTGTGTGAGTGAGGGGGTGGGGGATGATGATGATGATGATGTGTGTATGTGGGGCAAGGTGTCTCCAGAAACATTCTCTAGCCACATGATCTTCTCCAGGCCTCACCTCAGTTTTCAGCTTCTCCATCTGCAAAGAGTATTAGACCTGGTTCCTCTTTTCTCTTAATTGGCATACTACAAAATTGGCTTGTTCAGAATGCATAACGGTTCTAATACTCCAAACAATTCCTCCATACTGCCTTTCATGGTTGTATATCCATCTCCCTCTTAACTCCAGGCAATCACTGATCTGCTTTTTATCACTGTAGTTTTATCTTTTCAAGAATGCTATACAACAAAAATCATACAGTATGTAACTTTTTGAGAGTAGCTTCTTTCACTCAGCATAATGCCGTTACAATTCATCTAGGTTATTGTGTTTTTCAATAGTTTATTCCTCTTTATTGTTGGCTAATATTTCTCGCATGGATGTCTCTTTTATTTATTTGTTTGTGTTTGTTTATTTATTTATTTAATATTTTTATTGATTTTAAAATGAATGTATTTTTGTTACAGACAGATGTTTCCCCTTTTTCCCCCATTAACACCCTCTTCCCTACCCCCCCCCCCCACAGCATTGTTGTCAATACATAGTTGTTAATGTTGTCCTGCAATTTCCCAATAACTTTCACCTGGTAATGTTAGCGTCCACTTGCATTTCATTTTGACCATCCTTTCCATGTCTCTTTCTAACACATATCTCTCATACAGAACTCTCCCACAAATACATTTTAAACAACAGATCCTCCTGTTTTCTATCTCTCTTACTCCTGAATTTTATAGGAATCACTCAGGACTTGGTGTCTATATTATTTTTATCATTCTCTTCCTTTCTTTAGTCTCTGTTTATCTTGTGAATACTCCTTCATTAGACATGCTCCCCAGTCCCTCCCTTACTCTGACTTCTTACTGTGGCCCCTTGTTCTGTTCACTAGCCTTGACTTCTCTGATAGCCCACCCAAGCCTCTGGGCATCATTATCAGATGTTATGACTATAAGAAAACTATATCCAAAAGTATTATTGACAGAGGGGCAGAAAACAAAACCAGCAACGTTAATTCTAATAGGAATAAGAAAGTGTACTGCACTTATGACAAAAGTTCAACTCCATAACTCTAAGTGGGAGATAACAAGTCTGTTTCTAAGGCAGCTTGAAAAGCTTCAGTGTGGAGCCTGGACCTCACATGAGTCCAGAGCATGCCAATGAGAAAATAAAATCAGTTATGTAGTCAGATCCTACTGTTGCTATCTGATGCCCTGAGAGCATCGTATTTTATCTAATTGATACTCACAAAGATTTTTAGGTTATTTTTCATTACAATTCCTAAGATTCATATGAAAAGACTGAACTTGGGTAGGTTACTTAGTAGTCTAAATATTTTATCCAATATCACACAATGTGGAACTTAGTCATATACATCCAAACAAATGGAATTTGTGGTGCAGGTGAGGGGAGAGTTTTAACTCATTTGTGTTCTGTCACCTGAAAACTGACATAGAAGCTTCAGCCCATTTATCACATTTTTAATGGGACCCTGCCTGTCTGCTGAAGACTCATGTGAGGGATAGATAACTCGAACTATCACATCTGAGAGATGTATTGAGGGGGTGACCCTCACAGAAAGAAGGAGATTGACGAGGTTATGTTTATGAGAGCATATGTAAGATCCTCACTGCTCTGTTGAATGGGCTATACCTATGAATAATGTGTAAAAGTGTGCCTAAGTGCTCATAAGTGTTCTAAAGTGCCTAGAGGTAGGTATGAACTCGTTTGAGTTTCAGGATGTCTATTCCTTTAAAATGTGTCTGGATATTTCCATTTACTTCTCTGAATCTCAATGATAAATATGTATCATAGAAAAATAGGCAATATTTCAGAGATTAGTTAATATTTGTTCATTTGCTAAAATTCATTAAGTGCCTAATATGTTCAAGATTCTATAATTGGTACTGAAGAAACAAAGGTAAATAAAATATTTCTTAATTTAAAAGACTATGTAATCTAGTTGAAAAGACACGCAAACACAGAATTGGTATATGTAGGAATGGGCTATAACAAAATTCAGCATGTTAATCAGAAGCCTTTGGGATCATAGAGAAGAGGGTTCAGCTCATATTGCCAGGGGCAGACAAGAAAGAGTCACTAATATGTTGTGACTTTAAAGGAGAAAATGCACAGAAATTCTCTTTTCACATGTCCTTAGCTGCTTGTCATATGGAACACATGAATGCAACAAATAAATTTTTTTGAAACTTTATAGAAGTTTATTTCTGTTTGAAAAAAAGATGGCGATTCAAGATTTAGATTCTCCCCACCCCTTTTGTTTTTTTGTTATTAATTAA